ATCTTTTTGAACAAGTATGTACTTCGAATTGAATATTGATAAGTCAAAACTATACATTGATTTTGTAATATAATTTGGAGTCTATGTTGCATACTTGTACTCAATTGATATGTTTTTTGCCTTAATTTTCGAGTCGATACACCCGGTGTTTGGATTTTGTGCAGATTGATGGTAATTGTGTACACATTGACATTATCATGTTTCTTTTTTTTTTTTTTAAGATGTGGTTCCCCACTTACTGCATGACTCGAACTCGAAACTTATCGTTGTCAAATGAAAAAGCGTTGACAACTGAGCTACCCCTGCTCATCTACATGGTCATGTTGTTTGGTCCATAACGACTTCTCAATTGGGTTCAAATCAACGTTCACCCCAAGAAGAGTTATAAATAATGAGCGTGCTAATTAGGGCGAGGAAACAAATAAGAGAAAAAATGTAGATTTGTTTAGGAATGCAATGAAGGGCTGCACACCAACACGAGGAATTGAGGGTGCGGTTGGATAGAAGTTAGGTTATTATTGGATTTATTGGTTATTTAGGTTAACTAGTGCGAATTTTGTGCAATGCACGTGGTTTCGTACCTTAAAACATTTTTTTTTTTGAATTTTATTTTAACAATATATTAGTCTGTTGACCCGTTTCTATCAATATAAATAATATTTTAACATATATATTTATTTTTTAATACAATAAAAATAATAATTTTATATATTTTAGTTTATCATAATTCTCAAATAATATTTTATTCAAAATTGATTATCGTGTAATGTCATTATTATTTATAACAGTTATAGAAGTAATATTCTTCTTTTATATAATGATAACTATTTTTTGATTGTCCCTCGTGTTCAGCTGTTTATACTTGATTTTCATGTCGCTGCACACGTGGGACAATCAAATCCACGTCATATTTTCATTACATGTAAATTAGTTTGGTCGGACACGTAAGCAATGATGGTCGGTTTCCGACTTTCGTGTATTGTTTTGCAAAAAATCAAAGGTTGTGATATTTTACGCCAAAGTCCAAAAGTCGTGATCTTTTAGCAATATGGCAAAATATCGTGATATAAGGAGCCATTTTGCCTTATTATTATTATTATTATTATTATTATTATTATTATTATTATTATTATTTATGTTTTGCTTTTATTTCTACAGTTGATACTCATGTGGCTAGAATACTTCCACCAGTCACAGTGACACCAGCTGAGCCTCTTGCTGCCCAATCCCCACTGAACTCTCTCTCTCTCTTTCTATCTCTCTCCAGCTTCCAACATCAGTGATTTTGTGCAACTTCGAATTCATCGAAGTCTCCTATCAATTCTCATTGCACAAAAATGGCGTCCGCGATGCTGAACGGAGCTGAAAACCTCACCCTAACCAGAGGGATCGGAATCGCGCCGTCCCCAATCGGATTAGGTTTTCCCGGCCGGCATTTCCCCAAATCCGCCGGCAAAATCTCCACCACCAGGGCTTTGAAATCCAAAACCCTAGCCCCCAGATGCAGCGTCTCGGTCTCCCGACCGGCTTCCCAGCCGAGGTTCATCCAGCACAAGAAGGAGGCCTTCTGGTTCTACCGCTTCCTCTCCATCGTGTACGACCACGTCATAAACCCTGGTCACTGGACGGAGGACATGAGGGACGAGGCGCTCGAGCCGGCCGATTTGAGCAGCCGGAATTTGACAGTGGTGGACGTCGGCGGCGGCACGGGTTTCACGACGCTGGGGATTGTGAAGCACGTGGACGCGAAGAATGTGACGATCCTCGACCAGTCGCCCCACCAGCTTGCCAAGGCAAAGGCGAAGGAGCCGCTGAAGGAGTGCAAGATAATCGAGGGGGATGCGGAGGATCTCCCGTTTCCGACCGATTATGCGGATAGATATGTTTCGGCTGGGAGGTATGAAGTGCTGGGTGCTCTTGTTAGTTGTTGATTTTGATTTGGTATTTGGATTGGTTTGTGTTGTTGCTTGTGTGTTATGCTTGGATGGGTGTGTTTGTGTTTCTGGGATTTTACCATTGGGTGTTGTTTTATTGCAAAGTCTTGTGTGAGGCGGCCTAATCGTTAGGCGGGTCGATCCGTCATGCATTTGTAATGAAAAAAGTATACTTATGTTAAGAAAATGTCATACATTTGTTTGTTTGTGCTGTTTTTTAGAGCATGACATTTCAGTTTGAAAGTATGCATATATGTTGGATAAAGTATGAAGTTGCTGCCTCAGTCAGCCTTATTATTGTTTAATAATTGCTCGTAAGCTGTTTGATTTGTTTTTTGTCTGAATTTCTTGAGGTCCCAAATTGTTTTTCTTTGATGTTGTTGCTGCCTATTGTCCTAGTTCTTGCATCAAGATTATTCTAGTTTTATCTCGATATGAATTTCAAGATATAGATCTGGTTTTGACATTGTGAGTTGCGTGCATTGAATTGAACTATAAGGGTACTGTTCGTGAGCTAGCTGATAAAAACTCGCCATTAACAGCATGTTTGGCTATTCACATAGGTGCATAACTATTTAGAGAATCTTCACAAGGAGATGTATATGGGATTTTGAGAGATTTTTTTCCTGGCAAATCTTTTTGATTTGCTTTTCCATTTTTCTTTTCTGGAAATTTGTTTTCAGCATTGAGTACTGGCCAGACCCGCAACGTGGAATCAGGGAAGCTTACAGGGTTCTGAGACTTGGTGGCAAAGCATGTTTGATTGGTCCCGTTTATCCAACATTTTGGGTGTCTCGTTTCTTTGCGGATGTGTGGATGCTTTTCCCCAAGGAGGAAGAGTATATAGAGTGGTTTACAAAGGCGGGATTTAAAGATGTCCAACTTAAAAGGATTGGCCCGAAATGGTACCGTGGGGTTCGTAGGCATGGTCTGATAATGGGATGCTCCGTGACGGGTGTGAAGCCCGCATCTGGGGACTCGCCTTTGCAGGTAAGTTTGTGACTATATGTCTTCAACTGTCGAGCAATTTTCCCTATATCTTTTCATGGAAGGAAAATGAAAGAAAAAAAAAAGTGTTTCCTTCTACATCTACTTGTTCTGTTGAGATGAAAAATGTAATCTTTGCATTTGATTCATTCACAAAGAGTAAACGTTGAAAATATGACTAAAGTTGTTCAGTAAATCGTAATATTTATGTTAATGGATGGCTACATATTTTGTTGAACATGTTGCTGCTTGTATGTTTCTTTTCATCTCAACATGATTACTGCTTGTATGTTTCTTGTTGAGCGATTTTGCCTTTATCTTTTCATGGGAGGGAAAATGAAAGGAAAAAAAAAAAAAAGAAAAAAAAAGTGTTTCCTTCTACGCCTACTTGTTCTGTTGAGATGCAAAATTTGCATTTGATTCAGTAACAAAGGAGTAAATGTTGAGAATATGACTAAAGCTTTCAGTACTTCGTAATATTTATGTTATTTTTTTCCCTTTCGTATTATGTTATTTTTTCCCTATTTTTCCTTTCGTATTATGTTATTTTCCCCTCTTTTTTTGTAGCTTGGTCCTAAGGCAGAGGATGTGTCACAACCTGTAAATAATCCATTTGCATTTCTTGGGCGGTTCTTGCTTGGTGCCATGGCAGCAACTTACTATGTTTTAGTTCCGATCTACATGTGGCTCAAGGATCAAATTGTCCCGAAAGGTCAACCTATATAGGATTTGTCGAACTGTAGTTTTTGTTAGTCGGCTTTTGAAGCTTTGGTACTGTATTATTTCTCTTCAACATCAACTTCAGAATTAAGTTCTCCGTATCTGTATCCATGGGTGAGTTTTCTTGTAGTTTTGTGTTCAAGAATGGAGATAGATGTGCTAACTTGTTCTTTTAGCTGTTGAGAATTTGTGGTTCGCTTACTTGTAAGGTCCATAGCTCATAATCAAAAGTTCGAATACACCAATTTTCATGTAAAACCCATCCGAAAAATAGTCGACCATTTCCATTTGCTAAAGTGGCTTTCAAGAAGACCTTCCACATTTAAAAATGTGTTTGGTCCTAGCTGATTTGAAAATGTTTTGAAAATGTTTTTGGTCCGAGATTCTGAGAATTGTTGAAAATGTATTTGGTCCTAGCTGATTTGAAAATGTTTTGAAAAATGTTTTCGGTCCGAGATTCTGAGAACTGTTGAAAAGGTATTTGGTCCGAGATTCTGAGAATAGTTGAAAATGTTTTCGGTCCGAGATTCCCGAGAATCGGCAGGTCATCTGTCGTTTGAATTGGTGAAGATATATGTTTAAATGGTTCACTGGTTCGGCCATTGAATTGGTCATGGGGTATCGAAATGGTGAAGATATATGATCAATGGATCACTGGTTCGGCCATTGAATTGGTCATCGGGTATCGAAATGGTGAAGATATATGATCAGTGGTTCTCTGGTTTCGTCAATATGTTAGATTCCAGGAATATAGTATATATCTCGCAAAGCAGCATATATAAAAAAATCATATTATATCAAACCAGTGTCCCATAAATTATTAACCATAGTCCTAAAGAGTGATAATTTTCTTCTCCCAAAATAAAGGGGCGAGCTTTTAAACTATGTAGCAAGACAAATAGCTCATTTCATTTGGGTCAATTATTTTATTTCTCTCGATATACCATTCATACAGTAATGTTAATGAGCCAACTGTTGGCTCCGTTACGGAGTCAACAGTCAATGGGACAGCTCCATGTGGGGTTGTCCCACATTAAAGTCATGTGGAACAGCCCCGCATGGAGCTGTATAATTGGTTGTTGGCTCCGTAACGGAGCCAACAGTTGGCTCCTTAGCATAACTGACCATTCATATACCCATTCAAATCAACCGTTGAATTTGGACCCCATTTTTTTTATTTTTTTATTTTTTTATTTTTTTTTTAAATTAGAACTTCTTAAAGTCTTCAATGATGAATGCTATTTTCCACCCAGAATGTTTGACTTTTATTATCTTTTTTACTCAAAAATAACTAAATAAATAAATGAAGTTTCTTGTGGCCTCATATAATATAAGTATATATCAACTCCAATATTGGCCTTAATACCAACTCATTGTACTGCATTCACAAGTTATTTTCTCCCCTAATTTCTGGGGACACAAATACATACAATAGTTTTTCATCTTTTATATATATATATATATTCCAAATTATAAGATTTAATTTAAATATTATTTAGGAAAAAAAAAATAAAAATGGCAGGTCCTTTGACAGAAGAGCAGATTGCTGAGTTCCATGAAGCTTTTACCCTTATTGATAAAGATTGTGATGGTGAGTTTTTCCTATAAAACAAAAATACAATATATTATGAGATTAATTAGATTATTTATATATTATTCTATATAGTAATGACAAAATTTTCTATTATTATTATTATTATTATTATTATTATTATTATTATTATTATTATTATTATTATTATTATTATTATTTTTTTTTAT